CCTTGGATTGGTCTAAACCATTAATGGCAACTTCATTAACTTTTATACAACTCTGTCAGTTTACATCTGCTGCAGATCTGCTCTGGCAGTGTTACAGGAGGGTAAATAGGGGATTTAGTCTTGCCCAGAAACACCACCATTTGTTTTCATTATATTCAACCCCTGCATTGACTGCTTTCAGCATTCAAATATTTTATTTTTTTTTTACATGAAGCTCCTGCATATCTCCTCAGTCCTGGTTTGTTCTGTTTTTCTTCTTTCGCTCCTGTTTTATCAGAGTTTTCACACACATAGGAACACACACATATAAAACAAGTTACAACATCAACAATGAACAGATAGCAGCAGGTAGTATCAGCAGCTTCTGGGAACAAAAAAGATTCCCAAATACACACAGCATAATTTCCAGCTTCCCTTTTGTTATAGACAAAGGCATTAATGTTATGACAGAGGCATTAATTTGGTGCTTCTGTCCACTCTCATCTGTTGATACCGCTGAGTTATCAAAGACACCTAAAGCATGATGTTTCCATTTCATCTTTTTCATTGTTCTTCCAAGAAAAAGGTCTGATTTTAGCAAAATTAATTCTATTTGTGAATAGCAAACAAGGAATCATGGAATAGTCCTGTGTTATGTTCCTGGGCTTGTATGTAACCTGTTAATCTTCAAGAGGACATATCATCTCCATCTAGCAAGCTCACCTTCCTTCCCCTTTTTTTCTTTCTTCTAGAGAAACCTCCATATATCTTTGTAGTCAAACAGAGTAGAAAGAATTTGTATAATATAATAATTTCATGCCTTTGGTCCTAAGTGTAATCACTGAAGCCTATGAGGCCACTCATATGAGGGTATATCTCTTGCTCTTTGAAGACCCAGGTTCACAACCGCAGGAAACAGCAATGAAAAGGGACAGGATGAGATAACAATCACTTGTGTTTGCATATTTGCTCCTAAATACTTAACCGGCATTTACTTGTTGATAACAATGAACAGTTAATTGCTAATTTAGAACAACTTTTAAAACCTTGTTTTGCTTCCTGCATGAAAGAAAATCATTAAAAAGCCACTATGGGGTCAGCCTACTGCTATTCAGCATATTTATCTTTGCCATTGGCTTTTGGGTAGAAGTGCTGCTTCTGTGTAGAGGCCACAAATCTTGTTTGTGCTTCCTGTTGCAGAATGTTTATTACACAAGCAGTCAGCAGCTCCACGTGGGTGTTCTGAGTCCCACTATCGACGACGATGACAACAGATGCCTGGTGGATGTGAACAGCAGGCCTAGGCTCATCGAATGCAATTATGCCAAAGCCAAGAGAATGAAGCTTTACTGGCAATTTACTCAGGTAATTCTTACTCAGCAGACATTTCGGGAAGTTTAAAAGCTGTTTCTTTATCTGAAGTGTGAGTAATCTGTTCACTAACAGAACAGAAAGAGATTTATCCTTGCTTCCTTTGCACAGAGACAGGAAGCTGTTTAGATTTGCTCCCAATGTCAGCTACCAAAGGAGGGTACAAAACTTGTATTATATTTTCTAAGTTCACCATAAATAATTTGTTTACTGTTATGGAATTAATCCAAAAAAAATCCCCAAAATCCAGGAACAAGGAACAGAAATCTTTTTGCTTGTTTAGAAGTAGCAACTCAGAATAGGCAGTAGCGGATCATTAGTGATAACAGCCTCATAATGAGCTACTTTTGCAGTTCCTTTCTTAAAAAGGCTAATGTTTTTGTGTATGTGTGTGGAGGAGTGTGAGACAGATAAAGAAAGAGGTGCAAGTAAAGGCTGAGAAGTGAGTTTGCAGTGATGAGAATCCTGATAGGACACCTAGCCCAAGCCTGGTGTCCACACCTCTTAACTTATTTAGAAACATGCAGAAGAACTATAAGGAAGCCTTAAAAGGTCTGGGGCTTAAAAACATGCTCTGCAATGTAGTGCTTATGGAGATCACTGTTTGGTTTAGCTAAGAGGAAGTGGCAAGGTCACTCACAGCATATCAGTGTTTCCACAGAGGGACACAGGTTATCCTGAGGGCAAAACAGGTTCCGATGGCTGAAAGCTAAAGATAGTCAAATTTCAAAGGAAGATGAGATTTTCCTAAGGTAAGTTTAAGACCATGGAAGATTACCATGTCAGGTACTGACAGGTTGGTTGTTTTGGATCAATAAAATGAAATTACATTACTTTCTAAAACAAGTGCATGACTTAGCTTCTGGGGAAAATGTCATCCCAAGTGTGAGTTTGCCTGGTCTCACAGTTGCTCCTCTGCAGTTTTGAGTCTACAAATCTATTTGTGTATTCCAGCCCAGAGGCTGAAGCTTATCACTGAAGTAATTTTATTCCTGCATTTATTTTTTTCTGTAACATCCATGTGAGTTTGCAGATATCTTTTCTGTCAACTCATTAGTTTATTTTTCTATAACAGCCATTATCTGCATATTTTAGGACCTTGTTAATACAGTTTAACATCAGTCTTGGTGCAGAGAGCATCTGGACACTAATAACCAAAGCATACTATTAACATAATTTGTCTTTTTACTTGAAAGTAATCCAGATATTTGTCTTTCAACAGTAACTCTCAAGCAGTAGACCTTAAATCCCTAAACTGGAGAGACATCCCAGCTTTTGCTTTCAGTCCCCCTCAAGGGCAAAGTTTTAATTATGCCTTCTAACAAATTTTAACACCAGTCTTGCCATGAGCAGGACCTCACTGTATCCATCTCTGCACTTGATTTTTTTATAATTTCTAAAAAGTATAATTAACATATTTCTTTAAAGAGTATTTCAGTAACATTTTAGTATTGTTCACCTATTCAGTGATTGCTCTGTATCACCCCAACCCTTTGGTGATATTTAATGGTTTCTACTCCAGGATACTGCTACTATCTTAGATCTGATTATCTTAGGTCTCATTTGAGGGGCAGCAGTAGAATGCCTTGATAATTTAGCCATTAAAAGCTTCAAAAATGGTATTTAACTGCATTAGGTTTGTTTTGATTCCACATTCCAAACACAGTCTCTCAGTGAAGTTGCAGTGCTGTTAAACTAGACTCTATGGACTCTATGTTCCTTCTACAAAGGAACTTCTGCCCAGGAGAAGTGAAAGCTAATTAGTTGTTTCTTTAGGATAAATTAAGAGACAAATGAAATAATTAATAGCTTTCTGTTCAAAAAGGATTTAGTTAATACCCAATGCAATTGAAATGTCATTATTGCTCAACATACAGCCGGATACACAGCCCTGGGTATGTTCTGTAAGCTACAAGAAAGCTAATGAATGTAATCAAGGCTTGCCAAGATCAACTGATCAACTCCCTTTGAAATGCTCCCATTTAGTCTGGTGAAAAGATGTGTTTATGTGAATATGCTGGAAGCTGTCTCTCTGAAAAGAGTCTTTTTTTATTACTTTTTTAAAGCTCTGGTGGTTCTTTTCCATATTGTGCAGTGAGCAGAACTCCTGCAAGTAAGCAGGATGCTTATGTAGTCTTGAAATTTGTGAAGTATTAGTTAAAATGTAGATTTTGGTTGCAGCTTTCTATAGCACCTTCCTTTGGCTGCGAGTGTGCTTGGACTTTTCTTGAGCCATTCAACAAGACTGTCTGATGCTACAGATAATTAAAAATACAGCAGTGCAAGTGGTGAATTGTCACAGAAAGGGAATGGGAAAACAAACTGACCACCTAAAGGAGGATAAACCCATTGACCTAGACTTCCCTGACCAGCACAAAAATCAGTATTTTTTCCTGCATTCCATTTATGTTGAATTAATTTGAAGGAGGAAACAGTCTCACTGTGTCACACTATAACCTGAGAGGCACCACAATAGTCTGTGGTAGGACATGGATGTGGTTGGTAGAAGACTGCACAGATTTTTGAAAAAATTATTCTTCGGATAACATTTTCCTCGTCCTTTGCCCTGTTGAAGTGTAATGATGAGCGAATTCTATATGACAAAAGTAGAATATGGAGTCATCCTGAGCTAGGAGACTCCTTGCCTCCATAGATCTAGTTCAGTATTATTTAATTATTAATTTGCATATTTGAATAATTACAAGCATGTGTGTATACACATACATATAAATATGTGTATGTATATATATATATAATATATATTAAATATATATATATATGTGTATATATTTTTAAAAAATTTATCTTTTACGTTGGTTTTAAAATTTGAAATTCCCCAGCTACCTTCAGTTGCAGGCAGCTGGAGTCAGGCAGCCAGATGTCCACTGCTACCTTGTGGACAAAATGGTGGTTTGGTGGACAGTCAAATGGAGGGAAAATACCTCTGGCATCTTTCTGCACAGGGCAAACTTGCATTGAGCATTCAAAGCTCGTATTATGTGTTTGTATAATCAGGATCTATCTAAGCACATTTCCATGCTCCACAGTTTTGTATGGCTGCCAAATGCAGTAAGACCCAATAAAATGTAGGCTTCAGTGACATTCTTTCTTCCAAAGCTTCTTCAAGTCCTTATAACTGTAATTATGTCAAATTATGTAAATTAGCCCTGAAAAGATTTACACCAGCTGGGTAGGGTTCAAGAATCCTATTGTTCAGGCTGTTTGTCAAGTCTTCTCTTAGGGAAATGTTTATTTTGGAAATACTTCTGTGCTGGTAAGCCTCCTAGGTGTTTGACAGTTCACTTAGTTCAGTCTCTCTCACCGCTTTTTCATTTAATCAGAACAAAATTAGACCTTATATCAAAAAAATGGTAAGTGATCAGAAATAAGCCAAGGCAGAGAGGATAGAGACAAGAATTAAGTAGTAGTAAAACGACCAGAATTTTACCAAAATATTACTTTAAGCAAGGAAGCTTCTCTGGCATTATGAACCACAAGGAAAGCAAAAACTAACCTCAGCTGTGCATTTTTTCGTAGTAAACAATTAATCCTGCTCACACCCTGTGAGTTCTTTTCGTCAAGGAGCAGGTGCAGACACAGCATGCTGGCAGCAGCACCGTGCTCCCTGAGGAACTGAGGGCTGGAACCGAGTGTCAGGTCAGCAGCACTCGGGTATGACAGTCACTGCTCAGTAAAGCTGCTGGCACTGCTGCAGTGACTGTGTTACATGGTCTGTGGGGTGACAGAGAAGGGGCCACAAGATGTAGGATGTAGGCCAGCACACCGCAGGACATCTTTCAGTAGAAGCTGCTTATGGCCAGAACCATGCTCTTCTGAACTGACTCTCTGATGATTAAGTTTGTTCATGCGCTAAAGAAATAGCACATTCTAAATGCTGCAATCAGTTTTTCTGGAGGGATTGGATTGGCTTGGGGTTTTAAGAAGTCTCCAGTCTGATTTCTCAGGTTTATTGCTGATGGCAGGTCAGACGTTTGCTTTACAAGTGAAATTCATCTCTACATACCTCACCTGGGTGGCAGCAGGTCAGCGAGAAAGTACACTTACATCATGTCAGGAGTCCTCCAGAGGCATAAGAAAGACAAAAGGAGGGTTTTTCTGTAACTACTCTTTATCTTGAAGTATCTTCATGTTTCTACTTAGTTGGATAGGGTTGTGACTCCCTTATGCTAATCAGACTACCTATGCTGTCACTATTTGCTGTCGTGAGAAACTTGATAGGTGAGGGCTCTGTGTAAAAAGAGGTATAAGAGAGAACACAAGGCTGACCTAAAACCCTGAGACTAATCCTTTTAAGGCTGCTCCATGTTGAATTCCTTTTGCTACGGCATAAAGTAATTCACCTTCCAGTGTGGTTGCCATAGAAAGGTGGGAAAAATGCATCTGTGGGGACAGACACTCACCACAGCCTTCATGGGAGGGAGAGGATGTGCAGGGCCTACATCTCAGCTCTGTCCTCTTCCCATACCCACTGATAACATAGCTTTGCATGTTGTGGGGAATTGTGATTATAGTCAGTGCTGCAGGTTTCCACAGGAGATCTTCCAGTTCAGAAATGTTTGGAGGGGGCGGTTTGTGCTATCCTGAGAAACTGCAAACAAAATTTGTTGTTGACAGCTGTGGTATCATTTCCTAAATATCATAGTAGGAATTGCTTTGGAAAGAAAAGGGAAGACAGACAAGCAAATTAACTACTGAGTTGTTACAGTATTCCACAGAAAAGTATGATGATTTAGATCTCATTTAAATAGATATTAGATAATAGATAATGCAATACTACTGCTAGCTAGCACCATTACCCACAACCACATCCCAGAAAAGCACAGGAATGCAGGATGCAGGCTGCATGGCAGGATTAAACTGGTGGCCTATGAAGCAAGGAGAGAGTCTGTGTACCAATTTACCAATTTCATATGCCCCCTTGCTGAGCACACAGTGCAGATGCAGAGCCCAATTCCTTCTAATGTCCACTCTAGTTTTCAGCCCATGCATTAGCCAAGGACATCAGTGTACCAGAGGGATTCATTTCAGTAGAGCTGTGTGTGTCTAAGGGAACAGTGGTCCCCATCAACTTCATCAGATTCTTCCATTACGAGAGCCACAGGATAGAAAACCAGCATCATTAATTTATCAAGAATTTGGATTTATGCTGTATTTCTAATCCCAAAGGGTGCAAATACTCTCAATATGTATTTGTGGTATAAGACATGCTGTACTGCTATACAGCTATATAATTAGGCAGTGCTGTTTGCCTGGCAGCTCAGAACAGAAAGGGGTTGTGATCCTGTTAAAAGAAATACAGACTTTGATCCTGCAGGAGAAATACAAAGGAAAATAGAACCTAATTATTCAATTAAATGAACCAACAGACTAGGTTAAACCCTGTACTTTTAGTGAGGGTATCTGATTTTTAAATAACCAGTGTTGCCCAGTGTGAAGTTTTGAACTTCAGACCCAAAAGAGCATATCCACAAGCCCCAGGAGCCCCAGTGAAATGGTGGTGTATGGGTACAGCAGCACTTTCTTCTATATTTAGATATTCTTTGCCCATTTTCGATCAAATGTTACCCTAGCTTGCCTGTACCTTATATTTTAACAAACTGGATAACTGCACAATGTGTTACAGCTGAAGGAAAAGAAATTTGAACCATTGGTCTGCTTAGACATGAGACAGTAATAGTTAATGTTTTAATTTTCATTTTGCTCTAAATTTGTCCCTAATTCATGTGCAACTTAATATTCTTGTTGTATTTTAATATGACAACATGAATTTAAAGAAACAGGTATGTTAAAGAATTTCTTTTTTATTCTCCTTGAAATATGTCTTACTATAAGCCTGTAAACCCTTTAGTCCCATTTAAGCAGAATGGAATTGTTGAGAAGTACAAAAATCTGAAAGCATTCTGTCTTTCTCTATTTTGAATACTTGACTTCCACTTAAATATGAAAATGTATAAGCAAAAAACATGTACAAAAAATAAGAAATACAAATATTACTATATAGTATTGTGTTTTAACAACTAATGTTAAATTTGCTTGGCAATTATTGCTGTAGCTAGTGATGATCAAAATTCCATTGTAGCAATTTAGTCTTCTATTTGGAGTAATTTTCTAGTAGCAAGTTTTAATCTTTGAAAATTAGGTGTAGAACTTGCCAGCTAGAAAGTTTGTGGGTGAATACAGCAATAAAATGAGCTTTTAGTGGGTGCATTTCAAGTCTTTTCTAGCATATCACATTATGCAGTATTTACTCTCCTGAGGACTACATTTAAAATCCAAAGACACTTGTGCTGAATTAATTTAGAAGGAAGTTAACACATACCCATGTTTTTCCTTCAAAACAGATACCCTATTTGCATATTTTAGCATATAATTTTTAAACGCCACATTTATTTTACAAAGAAATTATTTGTTCTAGTTCTGCATGATTTTTCCTAATTTCAGATGTCCAGATAGGCTCCATCTAAAAATCACAATGACAGCTGCTGCTGAAGAGGTACTGCATGGCATTCTAACATCAGGCATGTAAAAGAATGGCCAAATCCAGATTATTTCCTACAACTTATCTGATAACCAGCACTTACCAAATGAAGCAGCTGAGTTTTGGGAGATCTGAGCTCTGTTCCCGGTCCCCTCTTTGCATTACTGCACCAATCACTTCTTGGGTTCTGCATTCCTCAGCTGTGAGATGGATGGAAGGATTTTTGCCTTTAGCATACATCTTTTATTATTTGTAACTTTCCAGATGAAAACAAAACTCTGTCCTGATCAAGTCAGTAAAGGTTGCATCTTTAATTCCAATGGAAGTAAGGTTTGGCTACCAAATAACCCCCTGCAGTCCAAGATGCAAAGATGAGAAAAATGTTCCCTTGAAAGTCAAATAAATAAGGATGAAACAATGATGTATATGACAAGAAAAGAGGGTTTGTCATTCAGTGAAATGATCAGGCCATTAAGTCTGGTATCCTGAACCCAACAGCAATGACTCTTGGTACAACAGACAGAAAAATACATGATTTCCATTATTGTCTGAATAAACTGTGAGGTTTGTACTGCAGCAGCAAGGACATTCCTTTTCCAATATCAATGATAATCAGCTTTTTGTGGTTACTAGGGAAAAGCCATTTTCATTATCTAGACACTGTGATCAGAGTCCCAAAGAGCCCAACCTAAATTCCCATGTTAGAATATGCAGATCAATTGAAATACTAGTGCAGATTCGTTTCCTAATTTTCTTGACTTGGCACTCAATTTATTTCTTGGTCTCTAGAGACTGGTTTAATCATAAGCATATAATGACAATGGAAGTAGTTTGGTTTCTGGGTTAAAATGAGCTAAGCCTCCTTCATATTGAGCATTCATGTTAGAAAACCTGGATTAATTGAATACAACACACACACGCAAAAGAAATAAAATTGTCATTCAGTATTTTTGTTTTCCAAAGGAGTTATGTCTCACAAACAAATAGGCATTGCTCTCATCTAAACCTCAAAAATCTTTGGGAATCTGTTATTATATCTGTGGGAAAATATAAAAATCTTGGGTTTCCTGATTGTGCTGAAAGGAGTTTCTTCTTTGTCTGGCTGAAGATGAATAACTAGGCATCACCTTTGCTAGATTGGTAAATAACAATGGGAAGCTGTCTTTACATCAGTTTTCTATATATGCTATGTTAGAACAATATTTTCCTCCATAAGGAGAAAAAGAAAATAAAGCAGTAAGGTGCTCTTAGGCATGAGCTTCAGGTGCATGATGTCAGTGTGTATAGTTTTATGCCCCTCACTACCAGCAAGACTTTGAGGTGCTGCAGCATCTCCAGAGAAGGACAGCGGGGCTGGTGAAGGGTCTGGAGCACAAGTCTGTTGAGGGACAGCTGAGGGACCTGGGGGGGTTTATTCTGGAGGAAAGGAGGCTGAGGGGACACCTTATCACTCTACCTGGGAGGAGGTTGTAGCAAGGTGGGTATTAGCCAATCTAAACCTTCTCTGGCACAACTTGAGGCTGTTTCCTCTCATCCTGTCACTGAGAAAAGAGACTATCAGGAAAAATTTCTTCACTAAAAGGGTTATCAAGCACTGAAACAGGCTGCCCACAGAAGTGGTGGAGTCACTATCCCTGGAGGTATTTAAAAGATATGTAAATGTGCCATTTGGGGACATGGTTTGGTTGTGGATTTGGCAGTGCTGAATTAACAGTTGGACTCGATAATCTAAAAGGTCTTTTTTTACCCTAAACAATTTTGTGATTCTATATACCAAAATGATGATTACTTCAAAACCAAACAAAGAGGCAAAACCTAGGAATACACAATTTGCTGCATTACAGATCAGAAAATTAATTAACTGGATTAATTACCTCATCTAGAAGACTGCTTCAGGCAGTGGTCAGTGCTTGCTGTTTCACAGAAATGAGCTCTCTTCTGAGCCAGCAGTTCACTGTAGGACCAGAAGGAGGATTACTTTTTTGACCCCTGATGTGCTCTTTTTGAGAAGATTGAGAATTGATTTGTCTGAATGATCATCTCAGCACGCCTACAAAGAGTTGTTTTATCAGCACTCTTAAAATTAACTCAGCCCATCAAAAACATCTAGTCAGTCACTGAACACTGATGCCTGTGACAATGAATTCAACAGGTTTCCTATATCCTAATAAATCACAGCAATTTTGCAAATTTCTAAACTAACATTTTTTCCTGAGAAAGTTTGTTTGACAGTTTCTCACTGGTATTCATACTTTTGATCACTAAAGTCAGGTCCCACTAATTTTCATTCACATCCTAAGCCAAGTCCTGTTTCTATTTCCTGTTTGTATATTTTGTAACTCCCCACCATCTGAATATTCCATCACACTTCGAAGTATCTTTGTTGCCTTTCTCCATCTTCCACTTTAGACATCTTGAAGCAAGCCTAGATCAAGGCAGATAAACCAAGCCTGAGTTGTTTGCAGAAGTCATTTATATGTAATCTCAGAATGAAAGAGAAAAAGGTAACTTTTCTGAGCTTTTCACAAAACGTATTTTTAAAATATGCAAATAAAGCCAATGTCTCCAGCACTCCCATCTTTTTCCTAGTTGTATCAAAATATTGTTTCATTATGCATGGCACAATCTATGAAAATAAACTATATAAGAAAAAAAATTTGTATTTTTAGTTAGAGCAAAATTATTCTGCAGAAAAAAAGCAATAACTTTGGATACTTTTCTATAGGCCAGGTCTCACTCAAGACTCCAGAAACATTTAGGAACATAGGATTTACCAATATCCAACACTCCTGCTAGTACCAGAGGTACAAAATGTAGCAGTTCTTATTGTAGTGACCTTATATAGTTTAGAAACATATCTTAAATTTAAATTTAGAACTTTAGAGCTTCAAAGTTCGAGCACTAAGTAGTCAGTGACTACTTAGTATAGAGGTTTCTGCATTTACAGTTCTCTGAATGCTAGCAGGCAGGACAGCAGGCAAAGGAGGATGCAGGAGAGACACTTGGGAACAGCATCCTATCTAGTAGCGAGGAAAAAAAAAACCAAACCAAAAATATCAATCTGTGAATCATCTCTCACCAACATGAATTGCTGGAGCTCACTCTTTTGTGAGTGTTAGTTCTCAAAAAGGCGTGTAATTGTTTTCTAAATGGCTTGTCCAGTTCGCTGGTTACTCAGGACAGCAGCTGTGGTCAGAAAAGCCCCATCATTATCAACTGCACAACATAAAGCCAGTTTTTGCTTTACTGCAAAGGACTTACCAGGTAATCCTAGCTATCAGAAGATCAGCATAATACACCATCATCTGGATTTGCTGCCAAAACAAAACCAAACAATATGTTCAGCTGTAAATCCTGCATTTAGCCATAATTATCAGGGCTATGTATGGATAAAGGATTCTCTTTTTAATCTGCTTCCCACTGTACCACACCCCCACACACATCCCTGGGTTCCACAATTAATTTTAAAAATCATATTGTATACCTAAAATATTTGTTTCTGCAGATGTTTTTCTAGTATGTCAGGAAAGTTTCCTGGCCAGTGCTGATAAAGTAAAAATTCATGTTTCTGAAAAATGTCTAATGATCTTTCTAGTCTGGCTAATGTATTCTACTATAAAACTTCCTTCCATTTTCTTAGTTTTATCCCCATTTTCTTAAGGAAAAATGCATTTTGAGCTATCATATCCTGAAGAGTTTCTTGGTATTTCAGTGAAGGCTTGAATTTATTTCTTTTCAAGGTATTATTTTCTTAATCTTGTTATTCACAGTCTGTTATAAATCTGTGATAAAATTTTATATATATGTGGAGAGATATTAGTGACAGTTATAAATCCATACATTCCATTTCTGATTTTAATGCTGTATGTCTGTTTTTTCTATTGCAGTTACATTCTCTGTATGAAACTGCATTTCCTTTTGCCAGGTTTAGTTGCCTTTGTTTTAATACTTTAATTCTGAAAATTAAAGTATTTTTTACATCCTGAAAATTTAACTATTACACCTTTAAAGGGCTGTGCTCGGAACCTGGGCTCTTCTATATCCATGTAGCCAATCTAGATTAAACAAAACAGAAAATGATTGCACAAACCACTAGCTTCTAAAACCCAGTCTGGACATACAGATCAGGCTGCATCATTTGATTTGTCACAGCTGCAGAATAAAAAAATTTGTTGCAGCAATATAAAAATCCAGCATTTATGATTATCTAAAACCTGAACCCTCACTCAGACATCTTGGTAATGGAATGAGACACAACAGTTTAATGTCTACATCACGGTTTAACTGTTGAATGATGTGTGTAATTCCACTGTCAGAGGATGTTTCATAGTATTTATGCATTGGTTATGAGCAAGTGGCTCTAAGACCAAGGCTTGGGTGGCTTGACAACAGATTCCGAGTGTAGGAAGAGGAAAAAAAATAACTTTTTCCTTAAAAAATGGTTTGGCTGATCCCTATTATCACACCACTTAAGTTTACATTATACATAGCAATTAGTTTTGGTTAGTATTGAAGAAAGAAATTCACATTTTAAGTGTGTCTGGTAGGCCTATCTAAATCCCTGTAAATAGGGATCTAAATAGCTGACAGACAACACCTTTTAAATATATCACCCTGCTTTATATAATACTTCATACACATGATAGCAGTTAAATGCACCTTATTTTCACAGCAGTTATCAAATATATTAGGAAGTAAGTGCCTTTGAAGAAGAGCAACAGTTAACAATGTACTTCACTGAGAAATATTTCAATTTAAATAGTTAAAATTAATTGATGAAGGGTTTGAATAACAAGGGGTATGCTATAGATTCTGTTTTACTTACAGCAAACCCGTTTGACAGAGTTGTGAAGTTTATCATACTGCTTTAGATTTGAGAAGTTCCCTCTATATTATATATACCTATATCCTTTTTGCAACTATAAAGTAGAAATCCTAAACCAAATAACATCATCCAGTATTTCCAAGCAGTTGGCAATACTGAAGATACATTAATTACTGTATGGGATGAATTATTCCCTTTTTCCTATGAACACTTCCTCACTGCATCAACGTCTGTACAGAATTGATCACACAGAGGAAAAAATGCCTTGTAAAATTGAAGCAATTTTCTTTAGGATTAAGTTTGGTGCAGTAACAGTCACTGAAAATTTACCCCAATATTCCAGAGAAATGCATGGGAAGATCAAGTGTTCTGTTTTGAGTGGAGATTATCTATGTCTCATATACCTCACCATAATTCTTCTATTCAAATGTATCAGAGCAACAGTGAAGATTAGACTTTCTGCCTCAAAGGCAGAGCGAACATGTAAATATTTGAGGTCACTGATTGAGGTCCAAATACAAAATTAATAGACTAGTGAATGCAATGATCTATATAGTATATGTGATATGAGACGGGATACACTCATTAACCTTTTAAGACGTTTTCCTGAAATATCACCCATGGTTAGGCAAGCTGGTAAAAGCACTTTTTTTTTCCTCTTTTAGGTAGAATAACACGAGCTTTAATGTGATGAGCAAAAAATAGGCTTAAACTCTGTTAGGAAAAGCACATGCTTTAAAGTAACTTGTGAAAAATAACTATCAGTCTGATTTTCAGTGATACATTCATTCAACATCCCTCAGTTTTTTAAGTGAACAAACCCTGTCTTAACTTTCATGCTTATGAGGCTCTGGTTCAGTCTAAAGCAACAAGCCTAACTCCCTATTTTCCCTTCCTGTGTTGCTTTTTCTGGGAAATTTGGAATCCCAGCACAACAACTTGCAGCTCACAGGCCCCATCACACCTACCTAAATGACTGGAATATCACAGATTACATCTAGCAGATGTGCCAAGTAAAACAATGACTAAATTGACCAAGTCAGGTCTATTTTGAGAATTATTTTTCAGCTTTAATGGTGCCACATAGCCACATTCAAATCCTTCCTTTAAAATACCTAAATTATGTTAAGTAGCATCTCTGTTATTTTCTTGCCAAGTGCTTTTTAGTTCATACATCAAAACACAGCCTTGGCAATCCAACTTCAGAGTAACAGAAAACAGCAAACTACTTGGTTCTTCCTGAAGAGAATTCTTACTGAAGAAAATTAGAGAGTAAATATAATGGGAAATTTTTATTAAAAACAGCCAGAAAAAAACCAGCTGTTTACACTGCAACCAGTAAATGTCACCTGATTAAAAGGCCTGTCATTCTGCACAAAGGCTCAGTAACCATATGGTGAGATTTTTTTGCAAGTAAACACAGAAGCTGTTCAGATATTTTTGGCTTCGTATATGTTTACAGAAATTTCTTAATGCATCTTTTTTCATTAATTCTGAACATGGTTTGTTTTGAAGGGAGTTTATCCGAGTAGTGTAACATGGTATGAAACCCCAGGTGTGCAGCAGCAATAGTATGGAGGGGCAGAAGTTCCAGGTTACATGGGGTGTATACCCTGTATGCATTTATTTACAGAAAAGTTGTATTTATTCCTGGCATTTAGAAAGAAAGCTGTACCAGGGTTCTGTCCCATGTGTAGCCCTCTGTAGAGGAGATGATCTAGATACCAGAGAAACCATATGAGATCCTTCAACTAAGCCTGGTTCTGCAAGGACCAATATTCCAGAGAGGACCTATCCCACTTTACCACCCTAGAGAACAAATACAGCCAATAAACCAAACAAACCCCAATAAACCAAAACAAAACCCATGGAACAGTTCAGCAAAAACTGTCAAATTACTTTGCACAGCTTATTAGCTCTAACTTAGAATAAGTAAGGATATACTTGCTACATGCTGCTCTTTCTAAAAGCAAGTTTCACGTTGGACAGAATCCCATGGGACTGTCTACCAGGCACATTGGACCATCCTGTTACTGCAAGGGTTTGCAAGTGCATCCTTAAATGCTGTATTATTGAATAAATTCCAGTGAAAGACTGGAAAGCTCTTACATACAGTAGATATGCAGAAAGTACAATAACTCTAAAGGAAGTCAAAAGTATTGTCTTCCGCTCTGTGTAACAGGATGTGTGATTTCTGATAGTGTTAACATTAAAAGTACAGTTATGAAGCACTCAATCAGTTTTCTGTGTGTCTGAGGCCACCAGCAAGAGTTGAGAGCATTTGTGCTTCTCATAGAAACTGATGATCTTTGAACTGAATGAATGAATGAGCAAATTGAAGCAAGTTTTCAGTCAAACTTGTTAGTGCTGACACATTCAGTCTATTTTTTAGAAAACAGTTGACCTGGATATTTATTTATCCTCTTGAGACATCCACTGCCATTGAGCTGCCTCTCATCATCAATAATCTTAATCCTAACTCTGTTCAACTGGGCAGAATTCCTCTTGAACTTTTTTCAGCCTACAGAATTACATTTTATGTCTCATTAAAGACATTACCCCAGGCTATCAATTTTTTGCCTTTAAATTGGAAAGTAGAGGTCTTACCTAGAATGGGGAAAAGAAACCAGTTAGGCAACTCACCTTTCACTTGGCCTAAAGTGTAGTAATACAATAAACCATTTTGCCAAACACAGTAAACCTGACTATGAGAGTTTTATATAAGTTCTGCTAAATGATTATTTAAAAAACAAACAAACAAAAAAAACCCACCAAATTAAAGGACAACTTTGAACTTTGCCTACATTTGGCTTTAGGGTTCCAAATGCTAATGATGCTGACAGGCTGCAGAAACTCTTTAGGAATACTGTAATTTGGAGGCCAAGCCAGTCAGAGGAGCAAATGCAGCATTAGTTTTTTGATGCCTCTGTCCTGCCTGCTCTCTTTTCTCACTGGAATTATTCAGTTCATGCACTTTAATCCTTGCACAGCTCACTAAGTCAGGCCTTGTGACATGTACTAGGTGTGCTGTCATCAATCCAGAGGTAACAGACCAATACCACTGTCCCAGGCTTGCATGAGGCATAAGAAGGGGACCTGAACACAGTTAAGTAGACTAACGACAGGAAATTTTAAGTGAATACTATACAAACTTTACTGCCTGTACCTCAGAGCAATTCTTTCATTTATATGCCTACTGAAAGGAATCAAAGCTGTGTAGACTGCATCCTCTCCAAGGGACGAAGCCATGGCTCTGCGCAGGCCTCACGTCTCTTAGGAGCTAAGTTGTGCTGTTTCTAACAGGGCTTGAGTCTTTACATTTGTCTTTAGTGGGAAAAAAAAACTGCTCTGCTAAAAGCATCTGTGCTCTGTACAACACTCAATTCCCACATATTAGCTGCTACTTAACTTTGGTGTCTGTTTTACATTCCATTCTGCAGCTCCAAGGTACTCAGCAGGGTGATTTTCAGTAGCCATGCAGAGTGCTTTCCACATCAAAAAGAGCTTCCTTGGTTTTTTATCTTCTGAGTCACTTGTTTCTGTTAAATAGAAGGTAGATTTCATATGAGGACACATCAGAAAAAGAGAAGAGGTGTGAGAGGAGCTTTTTGTGTGGTTTATTGGTTGCTTGCTTGTTTTGGTTTTCCTTAGGAGGGGTTTACACTTTGTTTATGTAGCTGCCTGTATTAAAGTGTTTCACATGAATACATTTAGTGTAAACACCTCAGTCTGCTCTACAAGACTTAGAAAAAAGGAAAAACACTGTCTCTTCTGTGACCTCCTCCTTCCTCTAACCCCAAAACCGTAAGGCTCATTCAAGTGAAAGAACCCTTCACCACTGAAACAAATGGGAATTAGGCAGGAAAATTCCCACTCAGCATGGCAGTATTTATGCCTTAGTGCTGCACCTTCCTCTACCTAACAGAGCTGTGAGTGACCTAGACCCCATGTACTGTCCTTGGGGAGAAAAAATAGGCACCACAGAATGGGATTCACAAAGTGCAGCCAAGAAATGAGGTGTTTGCTCCAGCCCAGCTGCTGAAGTTAGACTTGAACATCCCGGCTCATTCCTGTTCATAAGCATAAAAACTGTTCTCAAAGTGGACACCACAGAGTTCTTTTCACAGAGTTGTGAGAAGAGTTGTACCAGGGAAACATACATGTTTTAGCTGTCATGCTTTACAAATGTGGAGAGAATTAAATCCATTCCTCCTCTTTCGCTAGTAAGTTAGAAATGACAGGCAAAGCCTAAAAGTACCATACACAGATTCACATCCCAAGTTCAAAAGTCAGGCAAGTAATAGACCTGAACTAGTGTCCTGAATGAGTTAGTCTTCTAACAAGACAAAAAGTGGGACAACTTTCTTCAGCTTCCAGTGCAAGATCTGAGCTGAGGATGTCTCAGACACTGAAACTGGGATGAGGAACAAGTCATAAATGAAAGACTCAAAACTAGTTAACATAACCAACAGCAACATAAGCACCTCCAGCATCAGCTGAAAACACAAGGAAGTTAATCTTGGGTTTGGGTTTTGGCAGAAACACTTGTAAACTGTAATTCCCAATTCCCAGTTTAAACTCAGATAGCTGACCCTGGGTGCCATGCAACACTGAGTCTGTGCAGTGAAAAAACTATACTCAACAGCTTTCACTAATGACAGAAACATTATGTTTTGCTAGAAGAAAACAGAACAACTGTTGATTTTTGCAATGAGAAAAATATCTATTACCTTAGAGCTTTATATGTGAAGAACCTAGTTCAGATCTCATTAATGGGGGGGGCTGGATGGGGGGAAAATCAATCTCAGTACAATGAATTTTAGAAGGCCAAATTAACCAGGGAGGTTGGGGGGCTGAGGAGGGCTGTGTAGGGTGCATGTCTAGGATAAGAGAACAAATAGCACATAATAAAGCTTTGACTAATTTTTCATCCTAGTTTCTTGAAATTTCTTGCATGTCTTGCAGTTTTATTGCTTTTGGATAGCTTAGAGTTTATGCTCCCACCAGGCACCCAAACTTAACTACTGTTATTAATACGAATGTCAATAATGGTTATACAGCGGTAGGAAAATACAGTTCACTCAGCATTTTGTTATGGAGGTATATTAAAATACCTCTGTATACCTGTC